TTTTATATTGGAGGACAAAATCTTTTTATTAAGTTTAATTTTTTTTTTCTCGGGACCGGGACAGGACGCGAGATTAATACCTGAGTTAAAAGTTCAACGGCACCAGATTTCGAACTTCGGTTCTTCGGTTCATCTCCTGAGCAACCCGTATTTTATAAACGTGTTGACCCGCTCGGCCACCCCGCCCCTTTTGACTCCATATTGGCCCTCATTCAAGAATTTAAGACTTTATTTATTTTTGAAAGAAAAACAAAAGCTGAGAGCACTATTATCTTATCTCTCGAGAAATTCTCAATCCAACGATACCCCATTCAAGGCATTAGAGCATAATATACCCTTATATCAGGTACAATAACTTAATGAACTTCTCATATAAACACGTTCATTTTAAATTAGTTTTTCAAATATTACACATCTGTGATAATATTTCACTGGATAATTAGAATATTCAAATTTTCTTTTGAGATTATTCCTATTTTAAAAGATAATTATCAAAAACAATTAAAAATAAAATGATAGTAATTAAGTAATAGTTAAGGAATTTGTTTAAGGAAATTTAGGAATCTTTCATATTACCACTAGTATTAAAAAAAAAAACGCTGCAAATGTTTCACAATTTCACAATGGTTTATTATTTCCAAACAACTATACTTCTAAAGTAACATTACATTCCTAGTTACAAAGAAAAATAAATAAAAGGTGATTCCAATTATTAGACTAAACTTTTTTTTTAATCATTAGAAATATGCTAAGAAAAAATAGCATTACTTCAGTAACACATTCATAATTAAAAAACCAAACAAAGGATATAACATTTGGAGTAGAACATATAAAAAAGAACTGAAGACCATATCTTTGCTCAAAATTATCCGATTTTAATAATTTTTTTATTGTTTTTTAGAAAATTTAACGTTTAAAAAACAATATACAATATCGACAAAAAGTGTATATTTTTTGAGTTATTCGGAATTTAATTTTACCATCCCTCGTAACTTTTTTCCAGCTTCTTTTCGTTGAAGTATGTTATACAGATAAATTTAAATGGCGTCGGGAAAATGACTTTAGCGAAGTTTCATTGAAATCGGTACATTCGTTTAGGAGCTACAGTCTATAGCAACGCAGGTTTTTGAAAGTAAAAGGCGGATAGTAATGTCGATGAAGGAGGATCATCCTCGGGTGACCTCTAATTTTATAAACAAATTTGAAAAAAAAAATCGGAGAAAATGCGCGGACCGCGGACAAAAAAATTGTTTATTCGTTTTTAGAATTCTACACATTCTGAAACGTGTAACCTCAAATTTTGAGAGGGGGTTAAGTTTTTGAATTTTTTGGTCGATCACAATGGTTGATTATTGAAAATAATAAACCAGAAATAAAAAAAAACTGTACCACTACAACCCATACTGATTTGACCGGTAATATTATACCTGTTTTCCCTCTCAATCAATTATTTAATTAAGATAACCCAATTTATAAAGGCTGGATGTGCGCCAGGAAGGTCTCCCGACCCCAAGATCGATCCACGGCTAATCAAACAGAATAAATAATTTTTCTGCTATAAAATGGGATTCGAACCTGAGACCTTGAACATTGGAAGTTCAGCTCTCTATCATTGAGGTACCCTACTCCCTTACCATTGGCATAATGACAATTAATTATATACTTTTTGAGTTATACCCAAATATTGTTTTCATTCCTTAATAACTTTTTTCTCTGATTTTTCTCGGAATGTGCTTATTTTTCGGCTTGAAGGAGAATATAATCTTAACAATAGTTCAATAATTCAAAAACAAACTTGGCGAAATAATAGAAATAGAAAAATCATTTTTATTCCTTTAGAATAACAGTATTGTTCATATAAATTAATTATAAATCTGGCCAAAAGACTTATTACAATGAATAATAACAAAATACTAGTAATAAGTTAAATATAATAGCTCTTAGGATAAATTAACGAGAACAGTTGGGTAATAGGGGTTCAGTACTCAATATTGGAGCTGAAACAATAGCATAATAATCACTGAATGAAATTAGAAAGGAACGCAAAATCAATTTTATAAACAAAGCATTGTAGTGATGGAATATAAAAATTAAAAAAAAAATAATAACTGTTAATACATAAGTATAAGAAAATATTTTCACTTCTACTATTGTGTTGAGTATCGCTGGTGTTGTACCGCTTGGTTACGGTATTTCACCGCATTCCCACTCGTCGTACGTGGCTTACGGTTCAGAACCTAGCAACGATATGTGTGTGTGTGTGTGTGTGTGTGTGTGTGTGTGTGTGTGTGTGTGTGTGTGTGTGTGTGTGTGTGTGTGTGTGTGTGTGTGTGTGTGTGTATATATATATATACATATATATAGTGTATTAATATGACATTCCAATGTAAAAGCAAGACAGGAACTAAATATTTACTCTTATCTATTTAAATCTCTCTGCTATACAAATATATGGAATTACTAAAATTAACACATGAAAGGACTTCGAATTGTTCAGTCTGAAATTCTTCGAATAATTACCCAAGCACTATGGTATTAGTACGTGGTACATAGACCCCTCTTTATCAAATTATTATTATTAACCCCCCCTGAAACTTCGCAAATAGCTTCATCTCATCGTAATCTACAAATATTTTATTTACAAAAATTCTCTGAATTGGAGCGTTTTCAATCTGGAGGTCGGTAAACTTTGTCTCTTTAATTAGGTACTAAAAACAACCTATATATCCATTTGCTTTCTGCTTGGATCTTAAGATAATTTTATTTCAAAATCGATAAAAAAGGTGGCCTACAAAAATCTTACACCGTTTTGGCTATGTAGCCTCATTATTTTGACAATTTAGGGCTGTAGGTCACGCCAAAATATTTAATATTTCTGGAGACCACCTTTTTCATCGACTTTCTGGACTGCGGACGGGCAAAAAAATCCTGAAATGTAAAACCTCAAATTTTGAGAGGAGGTTAATTTTTTGTTCGATTACATTGGTTCATTATTGGAAATGATTAAACCAACACTTTAATTAGTCGATTCCAGCCGACTTTACCCGAGCGTTACACATCGGAGATCTGACGACTATAATTTTAATAATATCTATTTACTTTATGGATTAAAATCATAAAAAAAAGATTTAGTATTTTTTTTAAATCTATTGAACGATTGCCATTGGCCATCCTTTAATCGAGAAATACGTCAAACACATTTCGGCCTAGAAACTCCAAAAAAAGTTCCATCAAGGCCATTGTGTAGTCGTGTCCTTTTGTATGTTGAAAATAGACTCAATCTCCAACATTCTTCTTCTGAATATTTATAAACTGATAGATTTATTTTAGTTCTTTTTTTTTTAATTCGTAATAGTTCAGGAATAGAATATTTTTTATTTGTTTTCTTTAAAATTATTTATGTTTTTATCTACAGCTGTTCCCCCCCCCTGTCTTCCCCCACTCCTCTTTATTACGTAATCTTCTACTATTGGTCCTACACGCTTTCCAATGAACAAAAGATCGATACTCCTCTCAACCTTCAAACTGTCGTACAACGATATCTATAAAAAGGAAATGTCTATCTTAGTCGATAAAAAAATTAATAGACACATTAAAAATTGTCTGATTTCATCCGAATATATCAAGAAATCCTGAGATACAGTTACTAGGTAAGTAAGGAAAGTATTGAAATCCTGACAAATTTTTGGTGGGACATTTTTATCAGCTTAACGCATTTTACTACTTTCACTTACCTATGTATGAAATATATTGTAATTGTATATATTGTATATTGTAAATTATTCCGATCGTGAAAATTTTCAAATCAGTTTTCAACGGAAATACCCGTTTTAAAGTCCCTTGAGTCCAAATAACCAAGTCCCGCAAAATAGTTTGTGAGTGTGTTAACAGCCTAGCTCAAAAACGAAAAGTTGTACGAAAGTGAAATTGCATATTTAAGGTTTTTATATGCTTGAGTGTTACAGCAATTCGTCAAAATCGGCTAACCGAAAGTGACACTTAATATCATGGATTTTATCGAAAACGGCTCTAACGATTTCGATTAAATTCATTATATCAGTGGAAAATTAATCAGTTTTAAATAAAATTTAGGTTTTTTTCTGATTTTTGTTCTCTAACAGGGTCTAAATTTTCAATATTAGCTTCCTCTATAAAGTACCTTTAATTTTTTTATTTGAAATAATTAACTATTTCACATTAATCTTTGGTATAAAAAATAGTTAAATATGAAATATGAAAAGAATTTGATTATTAACTAAAGGAGAAATAAGAGATCATAATGGATAATAGTTGTGAGGAAGGAATACGATCGCACCCGAGCTCGCTCTAAAGATTACAACAGGCTTCCATACGTAACATGAGCTTAATATAATACGGACTCCGAAAATATTATGTAAATATACATATGCGGTTTTCATAAATGCTATCGTTAGTATTATTTAATATTTAATTATATAGAACACAGTGATATAAAAATTAAAATGTTTATATATAAAGATATTTACATAAATAAAAATGAAACAATGAAATGTAAATAAATCTTCCTTCTTGTCTGAAAATAATTGTTTCTGGTTAGAAGGGGTGGTAAGTGAAAATCGTGTGATGCTCGCACCAGATTTTTAAAATTATTATAATAGAATAGGACAAATGCTATCCCCATGTATTTTTAAATTGTCTAAACCCAGTTTTAAATCATTGCGTACATTTTCTGTTCCCGTGGAAATTCCTTCATATTTTACTGTTTTTTTTTTAATAACTCAAAAACTATATAATATTAAAAAAAATACAGTGATTAATTTCTGTATTGGATTTGGCATCCAAAGAATGGAAACACCTAGTATTTAAAAAATTTATCACGATATCTTAACATCTGTTTTCCTGTATATATTTTTTTAATTTTATCGTTTTTGGTTACAGCCTAACCTATTTTTTTTTTAATAGTATTGTTTGGGGAATATGTTTGTTATTCTATGAAGTTATCCTTGAGACATCTTTAGATTATGGTTTTGGTGAAACTTAAGTACCTGGGAATATCTTGCGGAATCTCCCTCGTCAATGGTTCCAAATTGGAAATAACCTCTATCGATTTAAATCGAGGAGTTGGTGAGTTAATTTCTCCTTTTTTTTTTTGTCGTTTAGTAAATTATTTTAATCGTTCAATTAACATGCGTATGTAATGGTTTGAATTATTTCTTTGTATCCGTATAGTTCGTGGTACAAGCCTCTTTTTATCAAATTATTAACATCCGCCTGAAACGTCGTAAATAGCTTCATCTCATCGTAATGTACAAATATTTTATTTACGAAAACTCTTGGAATTGGGGCGTTTTCAATCTGGAGGGGAGCAAACTTTGTCTATTTAATTAGGTACTAAAAACTCGTAAATACCCATTTGCTTTCCACTTGAATCGTAAGATAACTTGATCTCAAAGTCGAGAAAAAGGGTGGCCTTCAAAAATATCGAACTGTTTGGCGTGACCTACACCCTCTAATTGTCAAAATTACGAGTTTATAAAGGCCAAACGATCCAGTATTTTTTTTAGGCCACCATTTTTATCAATTTTGTTATCAAATTACCTTATGATCCAAGTTTAACGCAAATGAGTATTTACGAGTTTTTAGTTACTAATTAAATAGACAAAGTTTGCCAACCTCCAGATTGAAAACTTCCCAACTCCGAGAAATTTCGTAAATAAAATATTTGTAGGTTACGTTGAGAATAAGCTATTTACTAAGTTTCAGCCGCATGTTAATAATTTAATTAAAATGGGTCTGTACCACGGACTATATAGTTCGTAGTTACTAATGAAGATCGTATCGTATCTTCATTTAAATGCATAATTATATATTTAGCCGTCAAAATTATTTTCTCAAATTATAAGTTGACTTTCGATGAGAACAGTAACCCTTAAATCATAATTAACCTCAATAATATCTCAAAAATATTGTTGGATATGCAGAAGTAGTTCATATCAATATGACGAAAGAGTACATAATCACACGATCATACTGTAGATTACGTGATCTTGAGAAGTTTTTATTTTTCGTGCAATAAAAATATCATTCAATTAACAATCCTATCCATTCAGATAAAATGGAAAAAGGTAGGGAATTTTAAAAACAGGGAAAATTCAGATAACAAATGTTAAAGCCAAGGAATTTTCAAAACAGGGAAAATTCAGAGAAAAAATGTTAAAGCAAGGGATTTTTTTCAGTGTGTTAATATTTTTTTCGTGTAGTGGATCGTTATGATATCGCCTTCATTGAGAGTTGGCTGTCGCTACATCCGATCATTTTTTTCTAAAACCTAAAGGTGCGTTTCAAAAACTTTGGGAATAATAAATATAAAAATGGTTATTTTACTATGCTAGTAATTTTGCTTCTTGTTTTTGATATTTTCCATCTGCTGTTAGTATCAAGAAAGTAAATAGTTTGATATAGCAATAATATCACTGTTAGTTAAACTTCATCTTAGTTTATGAAAATAAAATGAAGGTGATAAAAATAAATTACTAAAAGTTTAATTGAAGAGAAGTTGGTTGGGGTTCAGGTCTTCATCAGGGCTGATAGCACGGAAGGTTCTCGTAAGATAAAAGTTTATTTTTCCAAAATAAAAATAAAAAATCCGGTGCAGTGCGCTCATCACACAACTTTCACTTACCACCCTCTTCTTAGCAGAAATAAATATTTTCAGAAAAAGAGGAACTGATATATATATATATATATATATATATATATATATATATATATATATATACAAATAAAAATACCCACAGTGAAATATAAATCAATATAGTTTTTATAAATTTTACTTTCAGTAATATATGCATACACAAATTTTAGTATTTAAATGGCTGTAATATATACAATTAAATATTAAATAATACCAATAATATTTACTATTAAAACCGCATATGTATATTTACATGTTATTCTCTAAGTTTGTATTGTATTAAGCTCATGTTACGTATGGAAGCGTTTCTAATCTATCGGGTGAGCTCAGGTGCACTCGTATTCCTTTGGTTCCTAAATTACTGAACTATTCTCCATTACGATCTATTGTTTCTTCTTTAGTTAATTATCAAATTCTCTTATGTTTTATATTTAACTATCTTTTATATTAGAGATTAATGTGAAGTAGTCATTTGTTTCAAATAAAAAAAAATAAAGGTACTTTAGAGGGAGCTAATATTGAAAATTAGCCATTTAAACCGTGTTAGAGAACATCAATGAGAATAAAATCTACATAATATCGAAAACTACTTAATTTTACACTGTTATAATGAATTTAATCAAAATAAAAAATGGTAATAAATAGAAAATCAAAATACCTTTGAGAGAGAGAAAAAAGCTCTGTTTGCGCTAGTTGTACGCTGGTCTATTTCTGACAGTTGGTCATTCATTGAGGTTATTGTGGAGCCGATTTGAATTTTTCTACTCTCGGGAATGATTTTCCTTCAACGAAGATTCTGTTATTGGATTTTTGCCTTATTATCATATATTTTGTTTTGTCTTCATTTACTTGTAGGCCGATGTGCTGTTCCTCCCTTATCAGTGTTGCAGCGAGTTACTTAATGTCTTCTTGATTACTTCCAAGGACAGCTATATCATCTGCGTATATAAACATTTTATGATTCATTCCGACGTGGACCCCTCCATTATCCTGTGTTGTTGCTCTTATTACCTTCTCCAGGGCTAAATTGAACATCGGTGATTGTCCATCTCCCTGCTGTAAGACCTTAAGAAATATGAAGGCTTTAGATACTTCAGATTTGGTCTAGCGCACGAGCGGATCTACGGGGGAGGGGGCTTTCGGGATGAACCCTCCCCCTCTCCAAAATGGTAAAATATAACCATGTTTTATGGAAAAAAATATTTCAAAAATATCTCTTAAAGTATTGGGAAGTGGGGTAGCTCAGTGGTAGGGCACTGAGCTTCCAATGCTAAAGGTCCCAGGTTCGAACCCCGGCTCATGATAGAAAATTAATTATTCTGTTTCATTGGCCGTGGGGCGACCCTGGGTCGGGAGACCCTCCTGGAGCACACCCAGCCTCTATAAAGTAGGTACTCTTAATTAAATAATTAATTAAGGAGGAAAACCTGGCGGTTGAGAGTGATCTCGGTCAAATCACCTCATCGCCCCACCGTTGACCTAAAAACAGTGCTTTCCCTAAACAATACTGAACCCATGACCCTTCCTTTATGGGTTGTAGTGGTACAGATATTTTTTAAAAATATTATTATTCCATATAGATTATTAGTTTCTTTCTTGTTTTCCAAAGTAATTATCGCCATTTTTATGAAAAAAAGGCTTTCGGGCTGAAGCCCCCCCAAAACTAACTCCTGGATCCGCGAGTGGTCTAGCGTGCTCCTCCCTTTTCTGAATTCAGCTTGGTGGTCGCCTATTATATTCCCGTAATGTGGATATATATATATATATATATATATATTTAAATTTGCAATGGATCTTTATGTACTAATCTAGATCTACCTACTACTCTTGACGAAGTTACCTCAAACACTTGTACCATCCCTGTTCTGTACCTATATTGTACGAAGATATTCGAGTATTATGTCAGCTGTGATAGAGGCGTCGCGTAATACAGCAGTCATTGAAGAATGCGTCCAGTTGTGTAACAGTTGCATTTCTTCCACTAGCCTCAACATTACATCACTTCATTTCCAATCATCGATAGCGGGTCGATACATCGATACAAAGTAGGAATGGGATACTGAAGGCCCCAATATTGATATTAAGATCGGACTTGAAATATCCATAGTCGATATTATAAACAATTTTGAAAACTGAATATCAATATAAATATAGATTCTGTAGCATATATGTGTATTAAAAAAGATGTTAATTTCCTCGTTTAAATTAATTAATGAAAAAATACCAATTCTTCTCTACCCTCCTCAGTTAAATGAATTTTCTAGTTCCTGACCATCTTCGTCATCCTCAGTTTTCACATATTTCCATTCAACTACTAGCGGATCCAGGATTTAATTTGTGGGGGGAGGGGCTTCAGCCTGGAAGTTTTTTTTTTCATATATATAACGATAATTATTTTGGAAAAACAAAAAGATACTACCTATATGAAATGGTGTTTAAGTGATTATTGAAGTCCTATTATATGTAATTAAACGAACAATAATACTTTAAAACATAGTTTCTTAATATTTTTTTAGCGCAAAACATGGTTACATTTTACTATTTTGGGGAGGGAGGGGGCTTCAGCCCGAAAGCCCCTCCCCTCGTAAATGCGCCTGTGCATTCAACCAATTGTGCCTTCCATTCACGAATATATCGAATTCAGCGAAATGCTAATTTATTTATATCCTGCATAGGTTTCTTTGACAATTCGTGGGCTTGGTTTGAGAAGGTTCTAACTAACAAATTTGGACAAATCGAGTTTACTGAGTGAGAAGGGTCCCGTGCGCGCAATTCAACTCAACTTAAAGATGGATATCGATAGTCGATATTATCGAAATATCGATATTTTCCTCTACTACGCACTACATTCTATATGAAAAAATGTTTTTTCTTTCAAAAGAAAAAAATAAATAATTGTTTACTATCACAGGCGGGATCTACGGGGGGGGGGAGGGGAGGGAGGCTCTCGGGCTGAAGCTCCCCAAAATGGTTAAATGTAACTATGTTTTATAGAAAAAAAGTATTAATAAATTATCTTTTAATTTATTTTATTGTTCGTATAATACGTTTTTTTTACTACTTTGTCAAATTAAAGATTGTACGTTATTGTAATGATAAAGTAAAATAGTTGTTTTTATTGTTGCAGAGATGGACGTGAGCTTCAACAACGTGGTGGAGAGCACGCGGCAGTACTTCCAGGGCGTGCCGACCCCCACCGGCCCCGGGCAGCCCGGCTACGGTTCGGCCCCGTTCTGGTATCAACAGGGCCAGGGGGCCGCCGAGCACCACCAGCAGCCCTCCAGCAGGTCAGTTATAGTATCATATTATATTGTTATTATTATTATATTAGCCGTCGGTATCGAGAGGTCTCGGCCGTATCTTATCTCTACTATAATTAATGATAAGCACATCGCCTTTGGAGGTTGTGCCGATGAGCTCAGTCTACTATGTTGTTGTTCTCTGCCCACAGGCTGCCTTCGCTGGCTCCGTTCTCGACGCTCAACTACCGCGGTAACACGGGGTCCATCAGTTCCGTCAAGTCCACCGGCCAGGGCCAGGCCCAGGGGTCGTACGATGTGGCTGCCACCGCGGCGGCGAGGTATCCCAGTCCCAGCGGCTATAGCAACTACTATGGTCATCAACAACAGCAGCAGCAGCAGCAACAGCAACATCAACAGCTCCAGCAACACATCCAACACCAGCAGTCGCAACAACAGCAGGCCCAACAACAGTCAGCGCAGATCCACCAGCATCAGCAGCAGTCTCACCATCATCAGCAGCAGCAACAGCAACATCAACACCAACATCAGCAACAGTCTCACCAACATCAGCAGCAGCAACATCAACATCAGCAGCAGTCCCACCAGCATCAGCAGCAGCAACATCAACATCAGCAACAGTCCCAACTGCAGCACCATCAACAACAATCTTCTGGTAAGGATCACCAATCCTCGCTGCACTCCCATCAACAAAATCAGCAATCTTCCCTGCATATTACGCAACAGAGTTCCCAAAGTCATCAGTCGCACCTTGTACAAAAGCATCAAGCATTGCAGAGTCACCAGCAAGCTCTGCAAAACCATCATTCGGCGATACAGAGCCATCAGCAGCAGTCAGGTCACCAGGGACACCAGCAGAGCTCGCACCAGTCCATGCACAGCCAGCAGGGGCAGCAGCAGATGATTACCAACCACCACGGCCAGCAGCAGTCCATCGCGCAGCACCAGGTCCCGCCCAACCACCAGACCCATCAGCAAAGCTACCAGGACAACCAGCAGCAGAACATCCAGTCCCATTCCCAAATGTTGCAATTACAGAATCATAAGCAAGTGATTCAGAATCACAAGATGCAGCTTCTGCAAAATCAACAAGCGCTGCATTCATTGCAGCAGCAGAACCATTCTTCAGGTCAGCACAGCAACAACATGCAGCACCAGTACCCAGGCCACCAGCCCACCCACCAGAGCCACCACTCACACCAGATGGCGATGTCGAAGTACCAGATGCAGAACCACCAGAGCCACCACAGCTCGCAGCAGAACCACCACCAACCTGTCATCAACCAGCTGCAACCTAGTCAGCAGGTCCAGCATCCCGCCCAGGGCAACCAGCCCCAGGTCGCAAGGCAGTCCCCCCTCGCTGTGAGTCACCAGCAGGCTGCCCAGAGCAACCAGTCCCAGGTAGCACGGCAGTCTCCTCTCGCGGTGAGTCAACAGCATTTGACAAGGCAGTCTCCTCACCACCAAGGGTTGCCAAGCCACCACCAACAAACCATCACAAGGCAGTCACCGCACATATCCTCTCACCAGCAGACCATCACCCGCCAGTCACCGCACCACCAGAACTTACCGAGTCCATCAGTGCTGCAGCAGCAGTCCCTTACGAGACAGTCTCCACTCGCCAGCCCTCCGGTGGTCGCCTTTGCATCCCAACCGTCCAGTCACTCCAGCAGTCACCAACAGGTAACAATAATTATAATAAAAATTCTTTTATTGACCAATGTAGATCACCATTGAATGTATGTAAGGATACATATAGGTTTAACATCAGTTTTTTGCAAAAAGTCATTATGTACATGTTTGATGGAATAATTTTTAAGTATTTTATTATGAATTCAACCTTATTTATTGATAAAAAAACAAAAAACACAGTGCAATAACATGATACAAAGCCTTTTATATATTAAATATAGTTGCAAGTGCTCAATTTTCTGATTTCGCAATTGTTTTCGTAAAGTTTTTATTGGTTTTATGTTATGAAATGTTACTAAATGACTTTTTGCAATAAATCTGTGATATGTTGAGTCTTTTATTTGATTTTTTCCAAAGGAACTAAATATTATTTGTGAATCATAGGTACAGGAAATTATATAATGTATTTTTATTAATTAAGAATTTAGTTATTTTATTTTTTATTTGTAAATATTAACCAAAAACTGATGTTTCATGTGATATAACTTTCAATCAGCCTTCTCTGATTTAATTTTTTTTGTTAAAAAGGGGTTGTTCTCGGCAACTGTTAGTGGCAGCCGGACGACACCTACCGGAAGCACTGCCATTCCTGTGATAAACCAGGTGAAGCGGGAGTCCCCCCTTGACTTATCAGTGAAGACGATAAGGCAGTCAGCAGATTCAACAGCAGATCCAGAGCATGTCTTCTACACCTTTCATAACGAGTTCATGCGAGGGAAGGCGTCTGGTTCAGGGCATGGCCAGCAGCTGCTGAGTGCCTCTAAGGTCGACTTCCAACCCTTCACTGTACCTGCAGATGGCAAGAAGAGGAAGGATTCGTCCTACTACACACTGCCATCTGTCAACAGCTTCAGCAGGGCATACGACAAGCTGTACCAGCAGCAGCCGACTCAACAGCAGTTGCAGAGATCGGGAGGTCTCAAGGCAGAGGCCAGGTACAGCCAGAACTACCTCAAGAGGCCGCCGGAACCGGAAAAACAACAGGCCTCTCCGAAGGTGCCCAGGATAGACACCTGGAAGCAGACGTTCGACCAGCAGATAGAGAAGCGCTTCAACTCATACCTGTCGTCGATCGCTGTGAACGGTGAGAAGAAGACACCCTTCGCCACGCCCTCTTACCCGGAGCAGAAGCAGAACGGAGCTGACAAGAGGGTGCTCAGCATCCTGAGGAACAGCCTCGAGACGAGGAACCAGCAGGTGAACCACCCCCAGCCCAAGCCCCTCCCTCCCGTCCCCAGGTACCTCGAGACCAGGCTACCTCCATCAACTGTGGTCAGTATTATTATTATTATTTGTATCTGTTGTATGCATTTATAATAATGTTTAGTTTAAAACTCTTAGGACTTTCCTTCACATATTTTGAAATGTTTATATTAATTAATTACTGATTTCTTCCCCCATCCAAATATATATATATTTATATTGTAATATCTCCTATTTTTTACTAATAATAAAACTTCTGGAAGATCACTTCATATTGTAGTGATACTTCCAAAAGAAATGAGAGTTTGTTAAATAAAAAACAAAATTATAAGAATATTAATATATTAAACTGAAATTTATAGTTATTTTATCTCAAGGAATGGAATACTAACAATCAGATCAAAACACTCAGACAAACTAAAATCATTTACACTTAACACTGTTTGATTTTAAAATAAAATCAAGGATGAGTTAGCAAGCTAACCTTTGTGGCACTGAATTCATTTGTATTAAAAAACTGTCCAATGTTCTGCCAAACAGACCTTTCAAAATGGTAACACTTTTATCTTCTAAGCTCAAGCCTCTGGGATATCCTCTCTCTTGTAATTCCAAACAAATATTTTCCCAGCCAAAGAACAAGTGAACCTTTGTTCATCCCCTAGAAGCCATTTTCTTCTTTGGGGAAACTTCGGAGTAGCCATTTTTTTTTCCTGAACTTGTGGAACTATTTCAAATTCAAAATATCTTGGTATGATCTGTATTAAGTTAACTTGACTCTTAATTAGGTTAGCTTGCTTAAAAGTTAGCCAGGCTATTTTTATATTAATTGTAAGAAAGGTGTATATTACAATATATAATATTCCATTTTTTAATTTAGACCTTTATTCTAAATATCATTTCACTCATCTTTGTCTTTTGATCCATATAATTAATAATCGAATTAGTGTTTGATCACTACTTATTATTGGACGTTTCGGGGAATCTTGATTGGGGAAAAACATATAACCTTTATTACTTTAGTTTCCATTACTATATATGATAGTTATCAAATAGTCTGGAAATACAATAATGTTATATCAAACCACTTAAAGTAAATTATAAAACTAAAATAATGGATCCCAATAATAATATATATCTACTACAATGTTTATGTAAAAAATATATATAGGATAGTCAATGCAAAATATGAAAAATAAATAAATAAAAACAAAAATTCAATAGAAACCCTTACAGCTCTAAGTACTCACATAGTAAAAAATAAACACAGTCATGAGGTCATGTTTGACAATGTATAAATGTTAGGCAAAGAAAGAAATACAATATAAAGAAAACTTATTTATAAAAGCTATCTAGAGCAAATACTAAACATAAAAGAAGATCTAAAGTTTATTCATGATACTTGGTATTTATGATGAACCATGGTATAGAATAATATATTTAATATTTTAATCCTCCAACCTACAATCCTTAATGCACTTCAATCCTTTTAGTTGGATAATAGTCATTGATCAAGCCTTCCTTTTTTTTTTTCCCACCTACTAAAATCTATAAATAACATCACAACCTATCCATAAACCAATTCTTATAGAATCCTTTTTTAATTCCTTTTCTGAATCAAATGTACATGTCTTTTGCGATGTCCTTGCACATCAGCTTATCTATATATCTTAGGAGTCGTAAAGTGAAAATGCTTATAAATCATGTTCTCTTGTTAAGATGCGCCAGAACCTGCCTCCGTTCGGAGCGCTGAGTGGAGACAGGAACAGGCTGCAAGTGCCGCGGGCTGTGGATTCAATCCAGCGCTCATCAAGCACCCAAGACGTCGTGGACATCACAGACGATGATGAACCACCGCAGCAGGCGCCGTCAAAGGGTGAGCTGGACGGCCTCGCTGCGTTTTTGGCTGCCAGGATTAGGACCAAGGCGGAGTTGAAGCAGGTTAGTCTTCTTGATCTTCTGGTTTATATCTCTACACTTTTCAAAGATTAAAAATATTTTTATTCTGTTCATTATACCTAGATTTGGTGTCTTGATTTTTACATTTTTATAAATTAAGGCCATATTCCACCAACATTTAATTTACTATTTATTTTATCCTGACAACATCCGAAGCCAACATAAGGGCCATTTTCAGTCTTAATTGAGTCCTCCAACTAATCATCTGTATTAAATGCCATTTTCTTTATTCTAAGAAGAATTAAACTGTCCTAATATTTTAGGGTTTCCCCTCGTCATCTATGGAGGGACTCGTAGATGACAGATGATCTAGTGAGTCCCTCCATCTCCAATTCTGAATTAGTTTCTGTAGTTAGTGCATTAAAACATAGTCTTTTTTTTTTTTTTTTTTTTTTTTTATGAAAATGAAATGAAATGAAATGAAAAAATAATTTTATTCTGGGACTACTGTCCCCTAAGAATAATAACAGAGTTACAAATTTATGTATCTTAGTCTGACATAATAAAAATACCAACTAATTTACTGTTAATTGTTATTTCAATTGTGCAATGGATTGAAATTAAACATTGTATAGATGCAAGTAATTTTACATGTTAGGGGAAGTTTGAATGTGGAGTAGGTGTTGGAACAGGAGTTGTTTGAAGGAATTTGTGGACGAGGATTGACGCATGGAGTAGGAAGTGAGTTCCATAAGGAAGCAGCACGAATGACGAAAGATTAGCTGAAGGAGGAAGTTTTATGGGAGGGAATATATAAGTCTATAGGTTGAGACCTAGTATTGAGAGAGTGGATAGGTGAGCGCAGAGTAAGGAGTTCCAGGATGTAGGGAGGGTTTTTGGGTTCTGAGGATTTGGAAAAGGAAAAGACCAAGGAGGAATTGTCGTCGGGAAGTAGGATAAAGCCACTTCAACTCGGTGTACCAGAGTGAAACATGTGAACGCCTGGGGATCCTGAAAATGTATCTTATGAAACAATTCATGAGTCTCTTTAGTCTCATTTCCAGCCTGGCAGATAGCCCTCCATACACCAAGCAGCCATAATCGAAGTGGGGGAATACAAGGGAGGTTACAAGGAGCTGTCTGGTTTTTAGAGGAATACAATCACGGAATCTTAGGAATTGTTTAAGGGCGGTTATGGATTTTTGGGTAATCTGGGAGATATGATTATTCCAGGAGAGGTTCTGGTCAAAGGTTACTCCTAGGTTTTTGACTGTAGGGAAAAAATGAATGGGATGGTTATTGAGGTAAAGTAGAGGAAAGTAAGGAAGGCAGCTGATGAGATGTCTGGACCCGATGATAACAGCCTTGGTTTTATCAGCATTCAGCTTTAATTTATTTATTTCTGCCCATCTGTTGATGCAGTCGATGTCCTCTTGTAGGCTCTGGGAAGCCTCAGGCATCTCAGAAGGTTGGAATGATTGGTATATTTGGAAATCGTCGGCATATAGGTGGTAATTTTTTTTTTTTATATGTTATATAATAAGAAAAATTTTCAATCCTGCACTCTAGCAATTGTAATTATAGTCAAATATTTTTAAAGAGTGAATATAAAATTTTCATACATTCTTAAAAACAGATATTAACATAGAAATTAAAACATCCCCATTTCGACTGAATTGATAATGATATTAGAGTGCTGATTTTCAAATTCAATAGTTACCGTTTGTATCGACGATATGTCAGTAATAGACTAAATAAATAAATGGTAAATTAAAACGTTTTAAACATATCTATCTTCAGGAATCCCCGTCATTTTTTTTTAATGATTAGAAATAAATTTATTTTTAATGGCTCTAAGCTATTGAGTTATCACACTCAATAAAATTTATTTTTATTCTTTAATTAAAAAAATAAAAATTAAATAAATGCCTTTTAACAGCAGGTAACACCAAGCTCTAAAGAGAACAGCAGCAAAGCTCCTCCTACACCCTCAAACGCAAGCTGTAGCAGCGGGCACTCTTCTCCTAGGACGCCGGTCTTCTCGTCTATGGATAATAAAGGTATGATGTTTCTGGCTTATGTGATGCATAAATATGTATATTATATTTGTATAGTAAAAAATATTAGAAATCCGAGACATTCCCGCTGTTATTCTGAGTCAGGGTGGCTCTTCTCCTCCTTCAGAAGACAATATTTCCTAGCCAAATTCCTTTACCAAATAATCCACAATCATCATTCTTCCTAAGCCTACAATCTCCTCCAGTTCAAGTTCTCTGTCAACACCCTCACTATGAGATCTTGTCTTTCCGATCTTTACAATCCATCTGAGATCTGCCTTATTTCAACACACCTTTATTACCTATTCTACCACTCTTCGGAATCCCACTCCACTAAAACCCATGCCTTATCCTTATCCACATTAAAAACCCTCATATTCCAATTATTTTTCACAAATAAATCAGACTCTGGCTAATTATGCATTATGTAACAAAAAATTTTAAGTAATTTAAATCTTTTAACTCATATTTGTCCAGTAATTTTTGCGCTGCCATTCGCAAAATGCCTTCATCTCTTTATTTCTGGTAAAAATTAGAATTTAATTTATTTAGAATTAAAGCATTATTTTATTGAGTAATATTACATTTGGCAACAGGCAAAGACACTAGTAATAGGGATAGAATAGCTCAATTAAGAATTAAAAGAACAAGAATCAATTATTTTCTGTAGTATACAAACGACGAATTTTCATCATTTGGCTATTAGTGATTGTTAGTGAAATGACAAGTTTTCATTGTGTGGACGAATACGTGTTAAGTAATGTATGTTTTTTTTTTTTTATTGCTATGTTTTGTTTATAAAATTAATTTTCCTTTTCAATCATATTTATTTATTTTTGTTTTAGTAGCTATATTGTAATATTGTGACACGACATTGCTCATGAGCTTTTTTAAAATAAATCTTTGATAACTATTTATATAATTTTATATACCAATTATTTTTTAGTTATTCATTTATTGTAATAGGTCTTATGGCTAGAATTGATGTTAGTTTGCATGAACGAGATTCTTATTCTTAAGGGACTTGTCCCAGAATGCAATTGATTTTTCTATTTCTAAAATAGACAATTATAATTATATTACTATTCAATATTGTTAAAATAATATTTTCTTGTACAGATCTAGTCAAGAACTTTTCAAGCTCTGAAGGTAGTGCTACCGTAAATAAAGGACTATTGTGGAGCGTTAACGCTCACAGGCTCTCTAAAGAAAACAGCCTCCTCGCTTCGTTACCGAGAAGAAGGTATTATCTTCACTATAAATTTGTTTATATTATTCAAAAGAGATATATTAATATTTATAAAATAAATTATATATTTTGTTATGGTGTATGTTGACTTAGACATATTACATATTATAAATCAAGAAAAGTAGTGGCGGCGAAAGAAGATCCCTTATTCTGTTTAGACGGACCTGTGGAACGCTTGCTTATTCCCAATGCATGAAGTCTATCTAGGTGGAGGATTCTTAACTGCTTTGGTTTTCATTTTTCTTTTATGTGACTAACATTATATCTGTTGATTGTATTTATTATCTTATTAACATTAGATTGAGGAAATTTTAGATTAATCTATCTCTAATATTATTATTTGATTTTCATGTATATTAAAATCTATATACCTCCTTCTTTAATAAAGTCTTGTTTCTTCTACTTCTGTTTTGAGATGCTTACTGCTCATTCCTCCTACATACATCCAAACCATCACAACTGTTTATTGTTCAATAATCTCTAATACTATTCTGAGCACAAGGCTCCTTTCAATATCCATAGCTTATGAAAATCGAAAGAAGTTGGTTGTGGTACAGTAATTTTTGCATATTATATTGTAATAGGATATTGCATATTGACAACTCGCATAACTCAGAAACAGAGACACAATTTTTTTTATTTAATAATTTGGCATCCAGCATTAAATCCATAAAAATTCAAAAAGACATATCCTCATAACGTAAAGAACCTGTGGAATTTTTTATGGTAATTCTGCCATAAATACTGTTACAAAAGTTGAATTTTGTTTACATCCTTGGGTATCATTTAGATGATCCTTACCTCTATCAGGTTATTTTCTTTACATGTCAGGATAATAATCGCAATTAGTTTGTAATTTTCTTTCTCTCAGTTAACATGGACTGGGGTGATAAAGAAAACCTAAATAGCTGTGATCGCCTTACACAAAGTTGGAAAATGTAAGTCAGAGATTTTCAACACTTTGAAACCTTTGGGTATCAGCCGTATGTTCGTGTATTGCACTATAAATACATATAATGAGACCCTATCTATATGACAGACCTCGACCGGGCCCCCTCACTGTGAGAACGGCTAATGCAGTGATAGCAGTGGCTGCTCAAATCAAAAGAAATCCCATTCGAAAACAACAAATCATGTCTCGGGAAGTGGAATCTCTGTCAGATCAATGTCTCGCATAATAAAAAGTGACCTTAGGACGGGTGCATTCCGAAGAATGACAGGACAAAGGCTGACAACTTCCCTAAAAAAAATTATAGCGGATAGATGCAAAATGCTCCTTAGCCGTTACACCAATGGTCTTCATAAAAAAATTGACATTCAACCAACATTAACTCTGTATAAATTTGAAAAGATATTTCCTCACAATGCCATACATTGACAAGTTAAATATTTTAATGTACATACATAAAAATAACATAATGTTGCCTCTATTATCTTAAAAACACTCCAAGTTTTTCTTTGGTCCCAATTGACTCTTTCACATTAATTGTATCCATCAGAGTGAATAGATTATTATATCTAATTAAATTTATTTAATCAAATAAAAATACACGATTGCTAGTTTGATAGATGATTAGAAGGAGGTCTCATTAGAACACTTGAGGGCAACACGCAACCTTGAAAATTTTGTTTCTTGTTCAATGTATACAAAAAATATTTAACAAATTTATTTATAATATATAGTTTTACCATTTTTTTCAAAGGGTATTGAAATATATATTGGAATTTCAGGAAGAGAGATTATACCCTTCTGAGTTCACAACTCATATTTCTTTTTTTTATTTACATAGAAGACATTTCAGACACCACCTTGTACATTTTCAAGTCAAGCATCATTACATAAATTGTCACATTTCCTGTAGATTTATTCTGTATTTTTTAGAATTAACTGGTGTTAGAATGTTTGTGAAACTAAGTAATTTAACATTTAATCTTTTATGACTTTATTTCTTTTTTTGTGCATTTTATGTAAACTTAACCTTTTGCTTCTGTTTAAAATAAAAACATTATTATATCTTTATATCTGTGTGTTATATTGTGCAAATCACTGTAATTTGTTTTTGTACATTATTAACATTTAAACTGTTGGACAAAGGTTCTGAAAAAAAAAGATAACTAATTTATTTTTTCCTATCAGTGGATTTATTAGTGTTTTGAATACTCGGTAAAAATTAAGTTGAAAAATGCTTCAAAGTATTACATAACGCCACTCCTTCCGGTGGCCTAAAAGATAATGACCAATATCCTACTAAACAAGATATATAGGTATTACGAGAATGTAATAGGCGACCTCCAAGCTAGATTCAGAAAAGGGAGAAGCACGCTAGATCAGATCTTCATCCTAAAACAAGTACTCGAAAAACGATAGGTAGTAGCTCGGGACGTCCATGGACTATTTGTCAATTTCAAAGCAGCCTATCATTTTTTGGACAGGAGCTGTCTTTGGAAAATCATGACTGAACTGAAAATTCCCGGTAAGTTGGTGAGCTTGACAAAGGCAAGTACAAATGACCCCAAATGAGACTCCTAATACATGGAGAAGTATCCGAAGCCTTCAAAGTTCGAACGGGCTTACGGCAGGTAGATGGACTACCACCGATGTTGTTCAACTTAGCCCTGGGGAAGGTAATAAGAACAACATCACAGGAAAATGGATTACGTCGGAATGAATTATAAAATCCTTGGATACGCAAATGATATAGCTGTCCTTGGAAGTAACCAACAAGAAATTGAGAAACTCGCTACGACACTGTTAAGAGATGCAGAGCTGATCGGCTTACAGGTAAATGTAAACAAAACAAAATATGTGATAATAAGCCGAAAATTCCACCCCATAACAGCATTTGCTTAGAAGAAAATTCGTTCTCGAGAGTAGAAAAATTCAAATACCTTGGCTCCACAATAACCTCAATGAATGACCAACGGGCAGAAATAGACCAGCGGATAACAAGCGCAAACAGAACTTTCTTCTATATTTCAAAGCTATTGAAATCCCGAAAAATCTCAAATTAAGGGTGTAGAACACAATGATAAAACCAGTTCTAATATATGGCTGTGAGACCTGGACGCTAACCAGCGCCCTAAAAAAAGTGTTGAAAGATTTGAGAAAAAAAACTCCACACGATAACCGGAGCAATTTGCGATCAGAGTACTTGGAGAAGAAAGACCAATAAAGAACTGCTTATAGAAATTGGTCAATCAATATCCCATGATATGGAGGCACAGAGGTTAAGATGGGCAGGGCATGTAGCTCACAGCAATCCATCTGGAAGCCTCTACATAATAATGAATGCCTTAATAGAAGGCAAAAGACCTCATGGAAGGTCAAGAAGCAGATGGATAGACAGAATCAACAAAGACGCAATAGAGCTGCCTGCAGATAAATGGAAAGAAATAGCCCAAGACAGGCAGAGATCGAGCTGGCTTGTTAAAGGGGCAAAAGATCTACATGGTCTGTAAGACCAATAGAAAAAAAAAATTGTGTATTTATCTACACAAATTCCCTTACCGCATATGCACATGCAAATACTGAAAATCCATATATATATTTTTTTAATGCATGCTTTATTTTATCAAACAAACTATTTATTAAAAATTGCTTTTGTCCAATAGTTTATGTAAAATAAAACTCTTTTTTTCTACTAATAATGCACATGCTTTAAAATCATTAAAGCACATTTACATGTTTTATTTTGTTATTTGCTTGCATATTAACAACTGCTTGGGTGATGGGCAGCTGGGATTTGTTGGTTCTGTCTGTTATAGGGCATGCCCCGTCGCCGCCACTGCGGAGCACCGCAGCTCGTCTGAAACATCAGTGTTTGATTTCAGGGACTCGGATTCCGAGGGCAGTGATATAGCGCTCACAGACCTCAGGCGAGCAAGTATCTCTTCATCTTCTCTCATTCACGCTCCGCCTCCTCCGCCCGCCAACATATCGGTGAGTGTATTTAATTCTTTCAGTTTTGGTAAAACATTTACATTCAAATATTCTAGAATATATTTATAATAAAAATAAATGAGAATATTTTAGTTATTTGTTGTTGAAGATATATATATGAATCAGAATAATCAGTTACTTGAATGAATTTCCACTTTATACTCTTAGGTGAAGATTAGTTTAAAATAAAAATAAAAATGCAAAAACTCAAAAATTGTGAATTTTTCCTTTTTATTTTTGTTTTTCATTCAACAAATTTACAAATAAGTACTTGTGAAGTTTATTTATTCAAAACTTAATAAATATTCCAAAACAGACTATAATCAGCAAATACACTAGTTTTTACTCATTGTATTCAATCATTGTTTATACAATAATAACAAGAAAACCACGTTTGTTTTAATTAATCATATTATGTGTTTAATATCGGTAAGTGTATTTAATTCTTTCAGTTTTGGTAAAACATTTACATTCAAAACTTTTAGAATATATTTATAATAAAAATATGAGAAGGAGTTGATTGGGGGGTGCGGTCAAATAAATACTAAATCATACAAATAGTATTATTTAATTTTTGCCAACGTTTCGACCCACTTTGCAGGTCTTCATCAGGGTGTAGGATGTAGCACTGCGGGAGGCAGTTGAAACACTCACTTTATTTGACTATTTATTTGACCCACCCCCCGAATCAACTCCTTCTCATATTATATCACGGTCAACCATCTCTACATCATAATAAAAATAAATGAGAATATTTTAGTTTTTTTTTTTTAAGATATATATGAATCGGAATAATCAGTTACTTGAATGAATTTTTAATTTTCACTCTTCGGTGAAGATTAGTTAAAAAAAGTGCAAAAACTCAAAAAACTTTTACTTGGTTCATTATTACTTGTGAATTTTTCCTTTTTATTTTTGTTTTTTATTCAACAAATTTACAAATAAGTACTTGTGAAGTTTATTTATTCAAAACTTAATAAATAATCAAAAGCAGACTATAATCAGCAAGTACACTAGTTTTTACTCATTGTATTCAATAATTGTTTGTACAACAATAATCACGTTCAATTAATCATATTGTATGTTTAAAATAGCAGTTTTAAGTACTGTTTGGGCACAATAATACTCGCATACATATTTCAACTGTCTATATATTGACTATAGTCTGTTTTGTGAAAGAGTTCTTCATCGCTACAAACTTATTCTTATCAGTGAAATGTCTGCCTTGATATATATTTGTGACCGCACTGAGACAGTTCTAGAAGCTTTGATGCCACACCTATTTTGAATGTTGTACAATTTTTTTTTTTTTAGTGCTGTCTAGATTTTTTTGTACGCTCAATATTTTTATAACTTTCAAAATATAAAAGCATTATATTATTAAATTTAAAGCTATAAAAATTCAGTTCTTTAAATGTAGTAAATTACTATTGTTACTTGAAAATAGATGTTGCAATTAATAAAACTTTATTGAACATAGATTCAGTTATTAATCAATAAAATTTTATTTTTTATAGAAATTATTTTTGTTCATCCTAATAATATTATAAAATACTTTTGACTTTTAAATAAGTTTCTTTTCATGTTTTTCAGCCCGAAGAGGAAGAAGATTTCAACAGATGGATAGCATTGTGTGAGGAATTAGTGATACAGTTACAGCAAGGTGGTAAGAGTATTCGAAAGAGATTCAAACGGAGGCTAGACGAGAGTATGTTCATCAAAAAGGAGGAAGAAGGCGATGATTTGGATATTAAAATCAAGAAAGAATTTATTTCTGACAATAGTAGAGAGGGCGTGGCAGAAGATGATGAAGAAGCGTTACAGCCACGAGAAAGGCCACTGCTGAATTGCAGAAAAATTCGTCAACAAAGGAAGCCTGGGCCCCGGAAGAAAAAACTCAAAAAGTTTATGGGAAATTGGCAAAATGAGGTATGGCAGTACAAGAGGCCTATTGGCCTGATGATGGCAGGGGAGAAGTGCTCTAATTGGCCAAAAGCTCCCTCTTCGCTTCCGGATCTGGATCGTCTCAACGATCCTCATTCGCAGCCAATCATCAAAGTAGAAGTGGAGGATAACAAAGCAGTCGCGAAGTCGCTCGGAGAAGAAAAATCTTTCTTGGATCGCCTTATGCAGCGCTATTCAGACAGGAGAAAAAAGGCTAAAATATATGAACAAAAAGATCCGCAGACTTCTTCTTCGGAACTCAGCTCTACGCCCAAGACTGAAGAAGTCAACCCGAAAACAGAAACAATCGCTGGCTTTAGGGACGATCTACCCGCCGAAGGTGACCTACCTCCGGATATCAAACCAAAGATTAAAGAAACAAAACTTAAACATAGAGATTTCAATGAGGAGAGACCGGCTTCCGCACCACCGCCTGGAGCTACCAAGTTCATCATCAGGAAGAGCAATGCCATCAGGAATCCCACTTTCGTGAAGAAGAAAAAAGGTCTTATACTGAAGAAAGGAGATACACCCAGATTGATACCAGAAAAGAGGTTTAAGACGTTCAGGCGAAAATTAAAATCATCTGGTTTTGACTATATTAGAAAGAAGAAAAAACAAGTCGTAAAGAAAGAAGGAGCTGATCCTCCAAGGGAACGGAAGAAAGTAAGTTTTTACCTGTACAAAAATTATGCATTATTTATAAAATGAGTAATTAATCACTTTATTATTATTTTTTTTTTTTTATGAAAAGAAAACAGCACCCATGACTGAACAAGAAATACAGGCAGAAATCAAAGGTTGGGTTCTAAACAAAGGACTTGGTGAAACTTTACTTCACCGGGCAGCAAGAATTGGCAATGTTGTGAGTTTTTTTATATATATTATTTTGTGCAATTAATTACATTCATAGATAAATAAATATTAGGCCGATTGACCTCTTTATTTATATTTTCTGTTGGCAATGCAGACCTTATAGATCTTTTGCCGCCTTAACAAGCCTACTTCATCTCTGCCTGCCTTGGGCTATTTCTTTCCATTTATCTGCACGCAGCTCTATTGGGTCTTTGTTGATTCTATCTATCCATCTGCTTTTTGGCCTTCCACGTGGTCTTTTGCCTTCTATCGAGGCATTCATTGTCGTGTAGAGGCTTCCAGATGGATTGATCCGAGCCACTAGCGGATCCAGGATTAAATTTTGGGGGGGGGCTTCAGCCCGAAAGCTTTTTTTTACATAATTAATAACGATTTTACTTTGGAAAATAAGAAAGAAACTAGCCTACCTTATGAATGGTGTTGAAGTGTTTCCTAAAGCCTTTTAATTTAATTACACGACAAATTATACTTTAAAAGACAATTTCTTATATTTTTTTTTCGATAAAACATGGTGTATATTTTACCATTTTGGGGGGAGGGTCTTCAGCCCGAAAGCCCCTACCCCCCCCCCGTAGATCCGCCCGTGATCCGAGCTATATGTCCATCTCAACCTCCGTGCCTTCATATCATTATATATTGATCGACCAGCTTCTGTAAGCAGCTCTTAATTGGTCTTTCTCCTCTACCTGTTACTACTCTGATCCCAAATCATTCCGGTTATCATGCGGAGGATTGTTCTCTAAAATCTTTCAATACTCCTTTCTAGTGGGCTGTTGGTGTTCAGGTCTCACAGCAATAAATTAGAATTTGGTTTATCATAGCCTTCTTTTACATTGTTATTTATTTAAGATAAATATAAATATTGAAATTAATATGAATAGTGTTAACAGCTGCATTTATCTGCAAAATGCTAATTTGGAAGGTTCAAAATAAACATTTTATCTTGAAATGCTAAGATTCTGTTTTAAAGAGTTTGTCACAATGAACAACAATTGTTGGTTTATGTTGTGTTAATAGTTTGTTATATTTATTTAGCTCTGCTGTTGTTTTCCATGGAATAAACTGTCTACTGGCCACAGAAATACAAACTTTATGTTTTTCTTAGTTTTTAATTAAGAAAACTAGTAAAACATAAGTATGTTTTTTTTTTTGTTTTGTTTTTAATCCCTAAAAATGTTCTTGAAAAAAAATATATTCTTGAATTTTCTAATTAAATTATTTGTTTAATGATGAAAGTAACATTGTTTAAGATCAAAATAGGAATAGTTTTCTGTCCTCTTCTTTTTACAAAACAAAAATAAAATCTAGATTAATCTGCATGCCCTGCTCATCTCAACCTCCATGCCTTCATATCATGAGATGTCGATTGACCTGTTTCTATTAGCAGTTCTTTGTTGGTCTTTCTTCTCCATGTGTTAGTACTCTGATCCCAAATCACTCCAGTTATTGTGTGATGGATTTTTCTCTCAAATCTTTCAATACTTATTTCTAGGGCAGTGGTTAGTATTCAGGTCTCACAGCCATTTGTTGAAATTGGTGTTATCATAGCATTGTACTTTATATTATTGTACTTGAAATCAATTATTTTAACTATTATTATTAACTGTAATTGGATGGAGAAAGGTATAGCACAGTGCCTCAGGTAGGAATGACCATTCACAGTTAATATTATTGAAATATCGATATTAATTCTACTTTGATATTATTGACTATCGACATCGTCCCTTCAGTATTTTAATTTAAAAATGAAAACTATCATTTTTGGAAAGCACTAGGAATTATATATGAATCTGATCATTGAAATTGTCAAAGAAATCCAAGTAGGATGCAAATAAATTAGTATTTTGCTGAATCGGATCGATGGGTGAATGAAAGATATAATAGGTTGAATGGAAAATTCTGGTAAAAAGCTTAGGATGATGTAAATAACCTACTAAAAGTTAAATGTAAATAATTAGTTTTGGCGGGAATAGTAAATATTCTTTCGCTTTAATATCGGGGATTTAGGTTATTTACACTCGTGAATTATTAAAACAAAACCCCGGCAGTGGATATAGACTGTCGTTGGGAATTTGGGAATCTAATACCTTTTGTGACACTGAGTGAGAACAAACAATAAGAATATATATTTGAAATGTGGGACTTAGTAAATACACTTTAAATTAATTGACTCACCTAGTTTGTTATTCTTCAATCGTGAGGCATATAGGACAACTAAATAAATAAATGACCTTTCACTCCTGTATAACAAACTAATTTATTTCTACAACTGTAATAAATTGACTCTATTAAAGTGTTATAACTATAGATCTGATCTTCTAAATCTTGTAGTAGACTCTCTTCCCAGATATGTCGTTCCGCCTCAATGTCTCAGCCTCAAGTAAGTTCTCTTCTGACCACCTCCTTTCTACCTGTCCCGGCCTAGAATGCCTTCTCCCCTCTCCAGCTGTTGCTACCTGCTGGGTCCTTTCGGAACCTCCAACCTTCTTCCTTCTTTATCGATTATTTATCGATATGAGACTTTTCAACGAATAATTTGTCCACTGCACAATTGAGTACAATTCATCGTGCAACCTCACATTCCTATATATTATATATTCCTTCTCATTCCCTCACCCAATGTCGTCTAAAGGAGTAAATACAGGGGGATGTCTACTACAATGACGAGTATGGGCAGGAACTGAAAAATTAATTTTTCTAAGCAGAATAGAAAAATTGATATTTCCATTAATTAATTTAAAAAGGAAAATAACTTTTTTTTTTTAAGCACCTATGAGCTAGAGAATCAATATTTATTTTGATATTCATATTTCAAAAGTAAACCTATGTCCTCTTGTCCTACAGTATCCTTTAATAATACCTCACTTATCCCTGTTGAACAAATTCGATACCTGGGACTCCACTTAGACAAACGTCTAACTTGGAATCCTCATACCAGACTGAAACAAGAAACAGCTCGACGTTTCCGAATACTCCAGCACTTACTAGATAAACGCTCTAACCTCCCAGTCAATTACAAAAGACTCATATACATGACTACAATAAGACATATTTGGACTTAAGGAGTTGAGCTCTGGGGCTCCACTAAGCCATCGAATTCCTCTCGGATCCAATCCTTACAATCCAAAATCCTCCGTAAAATCCTCACTGCTCCTTACTTTGTCACAAACAAAATCATCCATAACGACCTTAATGTTCCTTATGTTTCTGACCTGGCCCAATCCAGATACCTATCCTTCCATAACAAACTTCAGAACCATCCAAACCCTCTCGTTTCTAACCTTGCTTCCTCTTCGATCCCTGACAACCCTCAGAGGCGTCTGAAAAGAAGATGGCCTCGAGATCTCCTTTTGTAAATACATTTTTAGAGTGCTACCAATGGGTAGTTTCTCAACATGTGATTTCATGCTATTTTATTCCTTTGTTCACATTTACTGAATGTATTTTTACTTGTAATACAGTTGTAAATATCACCAATAAAAAAAAAAAAAAAATATTTCAAAAATGTTTATAGTATCGATAAAAACATCAACTATCGATATTTCAAATTCAATATTTTTATGGCATTGATAATAATGGGCCGATATTAATATCGATACTAAATCTTCAGTATTCCGTCCCTAGCTTCAGGTCTTAAATTTGAATCTGGCTGTGGCAGGTGATTATTTATTCCGTTACATCAGCTTTGGATCAATCCTGGGATCGGAAGACCCTCTGAGGCACACCCAGCCTCTACGAAGTGGGTTCTCATAATTAAAGAATTAAAAAAAAAAAACCTGGAAGTTGAGTGTGATCTCGGTCAAATGATCTCTTTGCGCAATTATTGACTAAAAAACATTACTTCCTATCCAGATACTAAGCCTCAGACCCTCCATGAGTTGTAGTGGTACATTTTTTTTTTTTTTTATTGTAATTAAGTATTTCTTGGAAATAAGGAACGCTGCTATATCCTTTTATTTTATTCCAGGATGTGGTTTATTACTGCCTGGAGAAACTGCATCACAATCCGGCACCGAGGGATAACGCGGGCTACACGCCCCTTCACGTTGCCTGTTCTCGGGGGCACTTCCAGGTCGCCAACTTACTTCTGAAGTATGGTGCGAACGTCAGTGATAGCGCGCTTGGAGGTGTCAGGTAATTTAATTATTCTTTTCCTTATTTATTTTTTTCAATTATAAATCTATTCAATTAAATGATAGAGAATGAATGTTTGATAATTTCTCAATATATGAAATTTGGAATAATAATTTATGTATCAAGAATTTTATTTTTAATTTTAACTTATACTATCTATTTTTTTAATTTTAGACCATTTGTGTATCTAAATTAAAGTAACAAAAAAATGTTGATATATTTAATAATATAAAAATTCATTATAAGTCGTTTAAAATAAAATCATTTATATATATATATATATATATATATATATATATATATATATATAATTTTCTTAGCCCTGATGAAGGCCTGAACTTCAGGTCGAAACGTCGGCAAATGTTAAAATAAATATTATCATTTATTTTTGCCTTCTTATTTGACTGATCACCCCAACTATTCTTCTCTTTATTATTCACAACAGTCAACCATTTACCCACAATTAAAAATCATTTATTAGTGTTTCTAATAAAACACATTGTTAAAAAAAAATTATATTAATAAAACAAAAAAGTATCCAATAAAATGGAACCACCACACAAACACATCGTTAAAACCCTTTAATTAAAATAATGGATGAGATTTTATAACCTGAACAGGTGTCTTCTCCTTTCTGTTCTTATGAAGAATTAACAAAGATATATGGCATACTACCAATAAAAAATATGTTAAAAAATTATATATATATATATATATATACAGTGGCTCAAAGTCAAAATGATACACAGCTGTATCATCCTGCGATATTGATAGAAATGATAGCTTGATAGCGATATTGATAGCTTGTACTGTTTTTAAGAAGAGTCTAATATTTTAATTTTATTGAGTTTGTGCATATTTAAAATGAGATTATAAATAAATCTGTTGAAGGGTTTCTAATTCTATTTGTTTACTGTAACCAATTAAAATTACTTTTTCTATTTTTCTACGGGATGTATCAATTTCACCGTGAGTCGCTGTATATAAGGCTATGGATGTATTCTCCTGTCAGTTCAAAAATAATTTCCATAAAAACAAAATTAAACTTGGAATTATTTTTATCAACATGGAATATAAATTCATTAGGCATGATATTTGTTTTTTTAATAAGTTGATTAACTTGGATTACATATTATAGTAATTAATGCTTTTATATTATGTTATGTTATTATATTAATATATGTTAAAACTACTTAATACTTATCTATTTAATTTTAAAATCATTGTTACAGACCTCTACACGAAGCTGCTGAGAACGGATTTACGAAAATAGTAAAACTACTGCTGGAACATGGGGCTGATCCTCAGCTTGCAACCTATTCAGGGGCGACGGCAATGGCGCTCGCTACGGACGAGGAAGCCAGGCTTCTCATGGAAATGCACATATCGAGTCAGGTTCCACTCCAGCCGATAATGGATGGTAAGTTCATAATTAAAATTTTAATGGGGAAGAAACAATTGACTAGGTAATGAAATATAGTTGGGAAGTTTCGTAGGCTGACTTTCTGCAATAAACCGATGATATTTAATATTATATTTTTATACAAGTATCAATAAATGTTATTATAAAAATAAAAATAATGTTTAATCGACATGTAATTGTATTTTATTTCAGACGATCCAACCTGCAGCAGCCAGCCGAAGCAAGAGGTCGACGATGACAGTGGTTTGGCCAGCTCAGACTTGGAAGGCTTTGAGATAGAGGAGTCTTCGGTACCTCTTCCGAACCTCTATCGCCTGGCGAACGAACCTCGCACCGACTCCTGGGTCCTGTTTCACGAGCTCTCTCCCCTGCTGAGGGTGAAGACGAAAGAAGCCCTCCTCAAGCAGCTCGGTCAGGACGCCAGGACAGTGCTAAGGGACATGAAAACTTCAGAGTTTTACGAAAAGGCTCATTGTCGAGCGATCAAGAGCACTGCAGGACCTAAAACTCCGAAGGTGACTCTGGTGAAGTATACAGATACGGTCAAGTTCCTCCTCGGTGTCGAGACTACGGTCATACCGCGGTGACCGTAAGGAATCGGTCATACCAAGGTGACCGTAAGGAATCGGTCATATCTTCTACGACAATATATATTGTTTATTTTCTGTTTTATAATTTTATGTTGTTGATAATATTTTGTCTTCCTTATCTTTACTCTCTCCCCATTTTTTTTTTTTTTTTTTATAATTAATATATTTGTGTTTACCAGATGTAGAGTAACATTTTGACAGTCTGTATAAAACATGGAATATTAAAGATATGGTTGGTAACCGCCATGATTTTTACATTCTATTTTCATCAGATAACTAATCGATAATAATTTTAACACAATAAAAATTTTCAGATGGTTTTATATTAAGCGTTACAATATTCTTGACTTTACCAACCATATCTTTCATCTTTCGCATCACCCTGGCAAAGAAAAATGGATTACATGTTCCAATTATTTAACCCTTAAGTAATCATCAAATTAGATTATATTAATACGTTTAAATGTTAAAAATATTTTTATTTGTTAAGTTAATTATTGAATCGATGTTAATATTAGAGGAGAAAGAGGATTTAAATATAGATGTACTGGTTTCACGCCAATATTTTTGCCATATTCCCAAAGAATAATTTTGTATAATAAGATGAAGTTTATAACTAATGAATAAGTGCTTTTTAATATTTTTAGTGAGAGAAATGAGAAAATTGATCGTTTATTATTTCAATGGCGATGATGAAAATTTCTAGATAACTGGTACTATTATGAAATTACCACTGGAATTTCCTATTTTTTACTGTTTGTAAATATTTTTATTGTTAATGGTTGTGTGTTAAGTGTTTTTTTTTGTTTTTTTGAACACTTGTATAGAAAATATTTGTTTTTTGTATATATATAATATAGAGAGAGAATATATGTATATGGGTTTAGACGAATCTTTTAAAAGTATGTGTATAATGTGTTTTTATGTATTTTATATTTAAAGTTGTATGCATTGTAAACGAGTGGTGCTTCTTTTGTGTCGAAATATCACACTTTATTATAAAACTGAAGCAATTTTTCTTAAAATGAATTAGACATGTTAGCAACGTGATAACGGTTTATTACTTTATACATATTTTAGTTGAAGTTTTTACTTTTTAAGTCTTATGTATACCTCAATGCGGTTCTAATTGGTGCAATTAACGATACGATAGTTAAGAACTTGAAGGTGTCGATTGTGTTGTTTCTTAGTTTTGAGCTGGTAATTGATAAAAATGGAAAAAAAAAAAGAAATGAAGAAAAGATCATTTTTTTAAAGCCGATGAGAATTTAATTAACATTTTTGGCTATGTGATTATTAAATTAAGAATTTTTTATAAAAAGTTCTATTTTTCAAAGTCTTTCCAAATCTCTTTAGACGTGAAATTTTATGTTGAAATGCGATCTTGTAAATGTTAAACGTAGCGACATGTTTTAATGATAGTAAAATGTGTAGTGACGTAAACAGAGTCAGAGCGTGTTTTATTAATTTAAATATTAGTGTCCTTAATTTTAAGTAAAAGCTGGATGAATCTTTGATAACGATTATCTCAGTGTTTCTATTTTTCTTTTTTTTTTTTGTTTTTAACTTAGAAAGAAATTTTATGTCTTTAAATAAAGGCAAATGACTGGGTAATGTATTGTGTTTGATAATATTACTATTTATGGAACGTAATGTTTGCATTATTGTTAAGCGTTTATTTAAACTGTATAATATAGTTTTTATTTGTCTTTATACATATAGCGATTATGTAACCGTTGTATTCTATGTGTATTTCCTGTGTAGGACGTTCCACCTAAAAAAACTGTGATGGAATTTTTCTAGCTGTATATATGAGCCGTTTGTGTATAGTCGTTGGAAAAAAATGTGCAATTTATATTGTTTATATAAATAAAAAAAAAATGGATTTATATATATAAATATATATACCATAATTTTGTTTTCTTTATTATTATTATTTCTTTTTTTTTTTTTGTAAAAATTCTAATGTGATCAATTTAAAAATAAGAAAATATAGTATAATGAATTAATTTTGTTATTTTGATTGTACTTACCTATACATAATTTCCAAAGCATTATTTTTTGATAATTTGATTTCTGGATTTTTTATTGGTGACGACCAAAGCCCAAAATTTTATGTTGTAAAAACCTGCAGAATGTGCCATATAAATGTGAAAAAAATCTGAGTGGACACACGACTTTCCTACCTATTTCAGAAAAGTGTTTATATCTTTACATATGTCCATCAAGAAACAAAAAAAATTGAATTACATTTATTTTCCTGAAAATTGATCAAAGAAAATATTTGAGTACGATTTATTTTATAAAGTAAAGCAATGTAAACCGGCTTAAGGTAGATCATTACACAAATTTCAGTACTCACTAATATTGCTGATCAAAAACTTTTTGCCATAGCCTAAATTTGTCAAACAATAATTTCTGTTAAAAGTAAAGGAAATAGTGAAGCTTGTGTGATGCAGGTAACAGATTTTCTTACTTTCACTTAGTTATTTTTTTTCTCTCATTCCTGCCATTCTGACACCAGAATATGTAGCCATAATCTTACATTGGAAATTTAATAGCTATAACTTCGTTAATAATAGTTGTCCTAAATAGATGATTTTTGGATAGTTTTGTAGAGAATTTCATTACCTTTTTAAAAAAACAGGCTAAACAGTGTTTTTTCAGGCTCAGGGGTCTCTGAAACGTATAGATCCGTCAAAAACCGCATTTTGGAAATTTGACCCGATTGCACCGAGTTGGTATAGGTAGGAAAGTAATAAATTAAAACATGAGTAGAAAATAGAATAAGCTGTATCATCGGTAATACTGGTTCGATTCCGATGATTTTTTTGTTTTGTTGCTAATTTAATCACCTTTCAAAGTTTTATTATAAATTTTACCAAATATTACAAACTTAGCAAGTTAGGCCCCAAAACATTTTTCTTTTCTTTATAACTTTTTTTCCTGAATTTTCTTGAGAATTTATTTCATACACCAAAATTGAAAGGACAATTATTAGAACATTATAGGAAAGTTTCATCAAAATTGTTAGAGCCGTTTTTGCGCTACAATCTATAGAAGAACATGTTTTTCATTTATTGTGTAAGCAGCTATTTCGCATGAAGCACCCAATTTGTGTCACAGGCATCAGTAGTCAAAACCCTTCAAAATAAAAAAAGAAGCAACAAAATCGGTTCACTACTTCCCGAGAAAATCTTGGCACAGACAGACAGCTCAATGGCTAAAAACGTGTTTTTTGGACTCAGAGGTCTCTGAAACTCGAAAACTGCGTATCAGAAATTTGACCCAATTGCAATACTTTCCTTAACTAGTATAGGTAGGAAAGTAAAAAAAAATTTAGTATGCAATAAGAGAAGACTGTCATTTTTAAAATGTTGAGAAAAAGACAATTTTTTGTAACATAGCTTCAATTTAAACTAATTCTAATGATTTTCTTTTGATGATTCAATTTGAATACATTCTTAAATATAATCATCAGAAACAGTTTGAATTGAACATATAAAGCAAAATTATAGAACATATAAAACATATATAGACTTTCAGTTGACATAATGACTAACTCCAATTTAAACATTTTTGAATAAAGTAATTTAAGTGATATTTCTAGTTAGGAAACTTATAATACCTGTACAGACACTGAGTAAGTTGATTTCAGAGTAAGTGATTGCAGTGTTGAAATATATATCCATGAATAAAGGGATACATTTTGTGTGTGTGTGTGTGTGTGTGTGTGTGTGTATTACTAAAGAAGTAAGAGAGATTGAGTTTTTTTATAAACCTAAATCTGAAAATAATAATAAACATGATAAACGATGGGACAGATAATAATAATTTTATCAGCAAAGTATATATATTTTAACAATTAAAAATAAATAATAAAACACATAATAATGAATAGTATACAGTAAGTACAGAAATATATTAAAAATATTTATGTTAATGGAATAAAACAGTGTGTGGCACTTTTTAAAATTTACAATGTGAATGTAATTGAAACTTATAATTAGTAAAAAAATAAAATTAGTAATGATTGTATATTCTTAAAAATTATTGACAACATAAATAAAATGTAGGAAGTACCTTGTTCTGCATTAAATCTTTTATCATTTTAAATATTATTATAATTAGAAAATAATCTTTCTACATCAATAGTCACGAATTTGTATGCACTTAAAATTATCAGTTCCGGGGGTTTTCACTTAAACTTGTTTTGATAAATAGTTGGGAAATAAAATTTTTCTATCAGACAAGGATAAATCCAAAATTTGAATTTTGAACAAAATAATCAACCTTACTTTTACATTTTTAAAGAATGTAGTGAAAGTAAGCCACAGGCAGATTTACAGCGGGGGGGGGGGGGGGAGGAGGCTGTCGGGCTGTTTGAAGCCCTCTCTCCTCCCCCCCCAAAATGGTAAAAATTATAACCATGGTTACACAAAAAAATATTAAAAACTATCTTCTTAATGTATTATTGTCATGTTAATTACAAAATTAATATATATTAATAGGACTTCAAGAACCACTTTAATTCATTTCGTATAGGTAGTTTTTTTCTTTCCTTTTTTTTTCTAATTAATCATGTTTATATTATATTGAAAAAAAATCTTTCGGGCTGAAGCCCCCCAAAATTAAATCCTGGATCCGCTAGTGAAGTAAGCAAGAAAGAAATTAATTCAGCAGGTGTTGTTTAATAGGAATTAGAAAGTAAAATGAACAGTAATGTATTGCAATGCTACCATTTTGATTGGAAATAATCTTATAATAAATATTAATGTGGAATTTGAATCATTTATTCAAAAAAAGAAAAAAAAAGAAAAAGAAAAAAAAAAAAACCTGAACCACTACAAGCCATGAAGGGTCTTGGGATCAGTACTATTAGGGAAATCACTGTTTATTGGTCTAAGGTTGTGCAACAAGGTGGAGATTTGACCGAGATCACGCTCAACCTCCAGGTTTTTCCCTTAATTAATTATTTTTTTTAATTAAGGGTACCC